AGATATTACCATATATATGCATTGATTATATATATTCAAAGTGTTTATGTCCAAAATTGATTAGACTTAGGGCATAACACTTACAGGTACTATAGAAAGTGATAAAGAAGAAGAGTTTTAAGATTTTTTTTTGAACTCCAAAAATATAATCAATTTGTTTAAGTTAATAATCGGCCTAAATAGTGCAATCTGGATTCGTATCTAGAGGTAAAATTGATTCAAAGATGCCATTCAAACTTCGTGAAAATATATTTCATATATTGCGTCTTGCATAGAAGGTTTAATGTATTTAAAGGATTTTGGGAAGATGCAGAGTTCCGAATCCAAGTTAGAGTGGAGTGATGACTTCATGATTTATAAGTGATGATTACGTAAAATTCTTTAATTTTTCTGACTTTTTGCGTAAAACTAATATCTTGCTCATATACAATTTTAACTCTATCTACGTTAAAAGTAACGAGTCCCAAACTCGAAAAAAGTAAGAGGATTTCAATTTATTTTATTAATCTCGTTAAAAAGAATATAAAAAACCAAAACATGAGCCAAGCTCGGCTCATACATAGGATATAGCCGAGCTTGTGTCTAAGGACCTAGCCGAGCATTGCCATCCCTAGTCCGCCTTGCACAAGGCTATTGCCTCCAATCCTCAACAGTCAAATTACGTATTTACTCATTTTATTTCTTTAAATTGCCTTGTTTATGACTAGATGAACCGACAACTCTATTGGGTTTGGGACTAACGATACTACAAAAATTAAAAGATTAGTAACCATAAATATAATAAAACTAATAATACCATAAATTGAGCACTAAATAATCAATTTCACATAAATAAAAGACAATCATACTTCACATGAATTGCACTTCTCTTACGTTCATACAGATCTCAATATCAGGATCAAGCATTATGTTTGCTCCCTTTTCTCTTCTTAACAACTCTGCTAACATGTCTGCAAATTTCCATATGAATAATTAATATATTAAAAGACCATATGTAAATTTAGTAGCTCCCTTTTTAAACAATTATAACATATCGTCAGCATTAAATTAAACAAGATTTTACTTTCATTTTTTAATTAATATTGTCCAGACCCTTATCAAACATGTTATTAGTTTTGTACTAACCATGACTAGATCCAGCTCCCTGACCCTGGCATCGTGCTGAGAAAGCCAAGGTTTCTCGTACAGTCATTTCTCCTATATAAACATCATGTTGGCCAATGTATGCAGCAGTTCTTTGGGGTACAAATTCTTCCATGTTGTGTCCATTATATGTCACTCTTCCAGAAAACTGTCATTCATAACGATATTCCTTCAGCTTGTGATTTTAATTCGAAATGTAGCTAAGTTATATGAATTAAAATGCTCGAGGCTTAAAACGCATAGCAACTTAACCTTCAAAACAAGATCAAGTTTTTCAGCATAAGCCAACAACAATGTTGTCTTTCCAGAACCTCATTATAGTTTTTTAATCCTACCTGGAAGGTTTCAGGATTCCACGGATATCGCGAAGAATTGGTAGTGTTGGGAGGAGTTAAAATCGATTAGCACAAAACAACACAAAAAATAGATATGCTAATGTTAATAATACTAATCTGGAAATAAGAATTTCAAGAAACCGAAATAAACTGAACACAATGGTATACTGAAATTATGAAGCACTGTAACAGTAAAGAAACTTATCTTCGATACAAGCCCTTAGGCCAAAGTTCATACAGATTAGAGCTTCAATCCCACAAGGATAACCACAGTTATGCTCGAATCAAACCCTAATAGTAAGAATACAAAGGAAGCACTCAGACTAAACCTTTTATTACACAAAATAGAACAACCCTCCTCACAACACACGGTTCACACAAGAACCACTCTCAATCAATGAAATCACTCAAGATTTACAAGTTATTTGAGAGAACACAGAAATCAAATAAG